GGGGTGCAACTGCACCACTCCACCCCGCTGGATCTGCCCTTGCCTTCCAGCCTGTTTGAAGTATTTTGCTGTCTCTTTCTTGATTAAGGTCTTGAGTGGATATGAGGGAAGCAGAGACCTTTATGTGCCCCTTCAAGCCTGGGTTGACAAGCCAGGATTTCCACTCACCTTCCTCAAGCTCTCCAGGGATGGCATCAAGATCTTAGCTTCTTCTTCCTCCAGCCCACAATGATGTTGGCTTCTGTTTCCCATTGTCTCAGGCCTGGGTCTCTGAGGCACCTGCTCTCAGGAAGGACATATGGGCACTGGAACAGCAGAAGGGGATCTTGGACAGAGAGATAAGCTCTAGTTTAGAAGCCATGGGGTGTCTGGCTTTGATCTGGTGTTAGAGCAATTTGAATCAGAGCTTGAGCTGAGGAATAACTACTCCATAGACTCTGGGCTCTATGGCCCATTGAGTCCTTGTGTTGATTTAGGATAGGCCTCTTGGAGAGAGATCTCTGCAAGTCTTTGTAGAGTTCTTAAATATTGTTATGGAACCTGACTGCCATAGATATATATTGAAGCAAACTACTTCTCACACCCTATTTTTCTCTGGATACATTCCTCATCCCTTGGAAAGTTGTGATCCAAATAATGATAAGCCCCTCTTCCTGCAGCACTGAAATGGGACAGCCCTGGAAACAACAGATCTGGATGAAGAGAGACTGTCAATGGCCTTTTATATCTGACACAAGGCTTTTTAGTGGGGAAGCCAGCCAGCCGTACTCCCTGTAACCCAAACATGGCCTGAAAAACACCCAGTGAAAATATTCAGAATTTGGCTTGTATTGTAAGCTTCATGCTGTGTCACCTGAGCATTCGCCAGTGAGCCATGTAGTCAGTGTTGCATTTACATACTTCAGTGGGTCTTCAAGATCTTTTGAGAGAAGCCACAATCTAGAGGCTTGATAACAGCAGTGGGACCCAAAAGCTCATGAGTTCTTTAGCCTTAGCTTTTGTGATTCCTTGGAGGCCTCTGGCAGCCTCAGTCTATCTTCTTCAGCTTTGACACATGTAGACCTGGAATAAGTATACTTGTATTGTGCGGCTGCTGAGGGGATACACCGAAGTGTGCAGCACTTTGAAGATACTTATTTATAGTTAGAACTTAGCAAAAATGAATTAAACATGATATGAAAGGCAAGGGTGGACCTTCGTTGTATGCACAAGGGGGACAGTTCTAGGTAAATGTGGGAGTCAGTAAAGGGAATCCTGTGAACCTTTAAACACCTGCCTTGAATTTTGTGTGTTTATAGGACTTGCAGCAGCTGTGCAAGATGCTGCCCAATCCTGGCATATATTATTTCCCTTGGGAGATAAGTTCTGGACCTGTCCGGGATGGGGAAACACTGAGGACATTTGGCAGGTGAGTGCTATTCCCGGACTCCTTCCAGGCCATCTCTTTCTTTCCAAAACTTCTTCCTCCCCTCAGCATTTCCTTCATATCCTGGGTGTCTCAGCTCACTTCTGAGGGCTGCTGCAGCTGAGTTTAGCAAATCAATTGTTTTCAGGTTGCACTGCTATGACCTGGCCCAGTCTGAAGCCGTCCTCACAGCCCAGTGCAACTCAGTCCAGCACCAGGTCCGTGTTTGCACCAAATTTGTGGAACCATTCCAAGCCCAGCTTGGGTCCCTGTACGTGGCCTTGGGAGACATGGAACAGCGGGATGGTACGTTTTTGTTTGCCTTGTACATGGGTAAGGAACTGTTCATTTGGCACTGGGCAGGTCTGGGTGAAGGATGACCTGCCCAGGTCTAGAAGTGCTGCCAGCATGAGGGGAGAGGGGGGAAGGGTCACTTGATACATGCTCCAGTTTAGCCTCTGGCTTATTTTATTCACCTTTTCCACCCAAAGCAACTATCCAGTCCCCCTGCACTAGGCAGGAAAAGACAACTGGGGTCCAGTGACCCCAGTGGGGTGACTGTCCAGTCTCCTTTTGAAGATTTCCAGGGTAGGTGACTGCACCACCACTGGAAGGAGTTTATTCCACAGTCTGGACACCGTGACTGTGAAGGAGTTTTTCCTGGAATTGAGCCTGAAGCGTCCTTCCAGGAGTTCGTATCGATATGACGGAGAAGGGGTGGGGGCTGTGCTACCACAACAAGGAGTGGACCCCTAGCTGCTCCCCCGTCTGCCTCTGGCACACCAACATCTTACAAGTTGAGGTTGGGGTGTTTTTGGCACTTTGCCCAAAAACGTTGTTAATCCCGGCTATAGTATAATTTGCTAGGGTGCCCCGAGGATAGGCTTAGCTGTTCTCTAGAGAGAGTCTTGGAAGGGCTGTAGGGTTGCAAAAAGCAACTGGGTGGCTTTGTTCCAGGTCATATCAGGGAACGAATAAATCAATCACTGGATTTCTTAATTATCTTGTAGGACACTTGGAGATTTGCATTACATAAGTGACTTGCAATACAATACTACTCCGTCTGGCTTCCACCAACCATCTCAAAACACTTTGCAAACACACATGCTTTTAATTGCGTGCTGCCATTGCAAATTATCCCCATTCTTGCAGATACGGAAATGGAACAGTTTGAGAAACTGGAGTCGTGTCCAGCCTGTAAGGGTCAGAACCTACAACTCTGGGTCATGCTTCAGTTGCTTCTGTATAAAACTGTGTCCTTGGGCATCTCTGCCTTACTCTCCATGGGCTTTCCAACTACAGCTTTCATAGATTTCATAGACATTAGGACTGGAAGGGACCTTGCAAGATCATCAGGTCCAGCCCCCGGCCCAAGGGGCAGCTTTCTTTCTCCTACTTTATGTACTTCCTGGAAGTTGCTCCATAACATTTTTCCTGTAGAAAAACTACGTTAGTTATTTTCTGTTCACAGGTGAAGGGCCCGTGCTGAAGGCTCGAGTCCTGACATGTGTGGAAGGGATGAATCTGTCCATGCTGGAGCAAGCCATACGGGAGCAGAGGAAATATTTCCAAGACAGACAGGGGCAGGTGGAGAGCGGTGCCTCTTAGCATCCTGCTAGTGCAAGGACTTGCTGCTGGGCTGGATCCTAGCTTTAGGCAATATATCTAATCTAGCACCTGCCCTCTGTCCATAAGGTCTTTTGTCATGTAAGCATCACAAGCTCCTCATCTGATTTTTTAAGTCACTGTCTCTTTCCAATCTGCTGCATGTTCTCAGAGCACCCAAAACTTGGACTTGCCTTTAGGGATTTTGTTCCTCAGAAGGTTGCTTTTCCCTACCCCCTCTCCCATTATATTCTCACCTCCAACCTTTTGTGGGTGACCAAAGTGGAGGATAACTGTGGTTTAAGCTGCTTTGCCCCTCAGATCTGCCAGTACATTTCACACTGAACTGGAAATGCTTTCTGCTCTTCCAGCCTTGGGCTCACATGACTGTTACTGTATCACAGCCCTGATTCCCAGAACTCTTACTGTTCTGTTGTTAAGTTGGTCTAGAAATAAGATTGTAGAGAAAGAAAAACTGCCTTTCCATTCAGGAGGCCAAATGCATTGTCACCCAAGATCTGAATTAGAATTTGAGCCCAGGTCTTCAGGAATAAGTGGCCGATGCCCTGAGCCATAAATTGCAAATACAGAGCTAACCTGTATAAAGTCATAGGTGATGATCTATTTTTAGTGCAATAGAAGCGTGCCTGATACATTCAAGATGTACCTGGGGTAGCTCATGTATGTATAGCAAATTTGTATCAGCAGAAATTTTAGCTGTCAAATATATATCACAGAGCCAGGCATACTCATACACCAGATGCTGCTGTGAGTTCACTGCTATCAGGATTCAAGTCCACTAGATTAAAACTGACTCGGGTGTGCCTGTGTATACTACAAACACCCCTCTGGACTGCAGTGTAGACATAGCATGAGAGAAGAGTGGTTAGTCCTTGCCTCTGAACAGCAGCCGGAGTCGCGCGCATACCCGAGGAAAGAATATGCCCCAATCCATTCCAAAACACACGTTTGCAATACCCTTGAGACAGAGTTTAACCAGTTGTTTGCCTCTAAAGAACTACAGTGGGAGAGAGTGGTATGGGGGGAGAAAAGGGGGCTTTTCTTTAAAAAAAACCAAATCTGGGGGTTTTTTTGTTATTGTATTTCTTATGTTCTGGACTGAGATTTTCATAAATAAAGATGAAGAAAGCGTCCAGCCTGCTCCTGGGTTGGATTAAAAAACACTTTTTCACCCTAGGGTGTCTGAATCTGTCCCTGCTGCATCCCCAGGGATGACATGGTATATCAGGGATGGGCAATTATTTTGCGAGGAGCGCCACTTACTGAGTTTTGGCAAGCCATCGAGGGCTGCATAACAGGCAGCCAGGGGCAGATAAATATTAATTTTCTAAAAATTTTAGGGGCCCCACAGGCTGGATAGAATGGCCTGGTGGGCCACTTTTTGCCCACCTCTGTGGTAGATTGCAACCCTGCATGGGTTTTTCTTTTCAAAATAATGGGTCCATAAAAGCGTCTTTCAAGGGGACTGGACTTTGAAAGAGCTACAGCAGGAGGAGGACATGAGAAACCATCAAGGCCTGTCTAGCTTCAGGACACCCAGCACAAACTACTTGCTTACCTAAAGCCACCCGTTTTATAAATGACAGAAAAATACTAGTAGGGGGTGGGAGAGAATAGGTCTGACTGCGAGAGAGAGAAGATCCCAAGCTGTGACAAGAACACCAAGGTCTTAGGTGAGCTAGAAAGCAGAACACACTGTAGAGCCCAATGCAGAAAATTTTGTACTCTCAGTTATTTCTTCTGCTCATCTCTTCTGGGGTGAATATACAATGGGGGAAGTTTCCCAAGAAGGAAGTCAGAAGGATATTGGGGTATGTTGTGTCCCATGATACAAGCTTCCCGACACTTGAGTGCATAAGATTTACCTTAGATTTGTATGGATGACATTTCCTTGCATTTTTCTCCCACATAGTAATTAAACTCCCACAGCATTGTCCTAGCATGCTCCAAGTTCAATCTAAGCCCAGAGAAAGGTTCATTATTGATTCCAAGATCAATAATAGGCCAGCAGTGGAACAAAAGGGCTTGTTTCGAGTCACTCTTAGTGTGTAGTCTTACCTTCCATGCCAAAAAACTCAGGCGCTGGGTGGGTCGTACCAGTCCATGTAGAGTAGGCCATCCTACAAAGTTAAAGGAGCATGTGAGAGGAAGCCAGAACCCAGAACAGCAGCTAACACAGAAAGTGAAGATTAGAGAGGCCTGTTTTCAAGGCTTTACATAGGAATTGAGCCTCTTGAGACAGATTCATCAGCATTTTCCATATCAAAGGCCACTGATTTTCAGACTGACCAATAGAGTTATTCCCCCTCGCCCCATCAATCTCTTCAAAATGTCAGAGAACGCAGCTGTACCTAGGCTGATAAGTTGTAGACGTTAATATTTATTAGTATTGTGATAGCATGCATAATACCAGGAGCCTGTTGGGCCAGGTGCTGTAGAAACCCAGAACAAAACGTCTGGGTTCCAGAGAGCTTGCAATCTGCAGGTCTCAGTTGCTCCTTGCCAGGGAGACCACATTCATATCCTTGAGAATATCACTTGATCTTCCACTTTTTTGTTTTGTTTTGTACTCTTTAGTTGACTATTTCCCACAACCTTTAAGTCCGTAGAGAGATTGATCCGGATTATTGGAACGATGAACTGCATTGATACCACATCAGAGTCTGTTTCTTCCGCTGCTGCTCGCCTCTTTATGCCTTTCCCTTCCCCTCCATGCCAGCCGGCATCTGGAAGAATGCAACGTGACTTTGCTGTACACATTTCTTTCCTTTATGGGGACAGCACTTAGGCCCTCTGTACTGTATTGCATGCATATCTCCCCCTGGTGGAGAAATCAAATGGGGAGTGAGAGTCCAGATGAGTTTTGACCCTTTAGGGACTCAGTAGATGGGAGGAAAGGCACATGGCAAGCAGAAGGCCAGTGCTGCCTGCAGACCTGGCTGGGGGCAGCTGCGTTGGTGCTGCGTGCAGTGGCTGAACAGGCAAGCTCCAGGCTGCCCACAGCATTACCCAAGCAATGTAATTCCCTCGATAGCTTCATGGGCAGGCAAATGAATGCCAATCCATCCCTTTTACAGGCTGCGGGGCCCACTGTCCATGCAAAAATTTTAGACATCAGTAAAGCACAGTGCTGCCTTTACAGCACGGGGGAAGTTAAACAGTGGCGACTGTTTTCTATAGGCATGAGCACGGACTTTAGGAACTTCAGTACAGGGTTAGTGTGGTTGGGAAATGGGTGCACACATGCACAGGCAGATTTTGCATCATTAGAAACATTGGGAAAAATAGCCAATACTATTGAACTGGTGGCTGGTAAGGAACAATATTGTGTAGGACATGGAGGCACAGAAGAAGTCTGGGGTGAAAAGCAATTTATGGGCAGGGGAAGGAAAAAGATGGAGATGACATGAGGCAGGATCAGTTGAGGCTTTTGGTATCTAGACCCGTTCTCCAGCATATTTATCTTATAAGAACCCATTCTTTGATCAAAGAAGGGGATTTCTATATACCAAGGCATGTATTCAGAGCCCAAACCAGAGCACATAACGAATTGCTGGTATATTGGACGGGCTGCACACATTATTTATTTGTATAGCAGCACTGCTTTAAGTGCCATTGGACTGGGAAGGCATCGTGGCATGTTGAGGCCTCATGGACTTGTCAACTGGTTATTGTGGGAGACGTGCAAGAAGGGTCGTGTATACGTGAGGCTCTTCTGGGGATAGTTTAACAATGGGAAGTTGATCTGCAGGGGTTGGGAGAGGTTTGATGAGGGTATTACAGTGGCAAGGTTTTAGGCCAATACCTTCGCTTATCTAACATTATGGTAGAGGTACGGGAGCCAGGACTTCCTCCCCTTTAGAATGCAATGCTCAAGAAAAATGGCAAAGGGGAACCCCTACTAATGCATCGAGGGCATGTTGCAGATCCAAGGCAGCAAGCAGATACATGGACATGTTCCAAGAGGTGTTCCAGAAGGTGGAAAAGATTGGGGAAGGAACCTATGGCGTGGTCTACAAAGCTAGGAACAAGCAGACGGGGCAGCTGGTAGCTCTGAAGAAAATCCGTCTTGATTCGTGAGTGTCTTTAATCCACTAAGCGGAGACCTAGGCCACGAATTCTGAGCTGGAAGCCAGAAGATTGGGTCACCCTGTGGTAGGGCTGGGAGTGGTTTTCAAAATGCAGCTCCTGCTGTAACGTGGTTATGCAGAGCACCTCGCAGTGTAAAGAAACCACGAGAGTGCCCTGCTGGGATTGTCTGTGGCAGGTTTGGACACATAAAGGGGGGGAAATCTCAGTCAGTGAGAAAGCGGCAGCTCAGTCATACTTGAAAGCAATTATCCTAGTCAAGCATAAATCAAAACTTAGAGCTAGGATCCAGCCGATGTCACGTGTGGCACATTATTGGCAAAGATTGAAATCCTGGTTACAGCCCCCCAGGGTCATCAGTCCAGCATGACTGATCAGTACTACTGACTAAAAGCTCCTAGACAGCGACAAAAAATGTACTTTAGCCTGAGAACAACCAACCGACCTCAGATAGCCACAGAAACTGCAGGGTTTTATGCTCCTTGTTGCAAGATTCTGCCTCCTCAGCCCCCCTCAGCAGGGCTTTTGCAACCCCAGTCTCACTGGTGTGGATACACGTACACTACGTGCAAACCCTGTTGACACACAGCTGAGTTGACCCCATACATGCCAGTGGGACTAACAGACTCCCTTTAATTGGTCTAAATAAAGGCCTGGCTTTCAAGCGAGCTCCTCACCCAGCAAATCCCATTAGTCATTTATGGCTCTTTTTGGAAACCTGATCCCAGCTGGGTGTCTCACTCATCTTCAGCTGGTCTGACCCTCTAAGTCTGAGTCAGGTAGATTCAGGCTAATGGAGCTCCTAAGTCAAAGCACCTTATGATTTATATAGTAAGTGTCCACCAAAAAGAAAGGCTAGAATGGAAGACACCTGGGAGTTACATCCATCGGCGTCTCACCAGTAATATACCTGGAGAACGATGGGATTGCAATGAGTGTACCATGACACAGAGCCTGTCTTCCCCACAGGGAGACCGAAGGTGTTCCAAGTACAGCAATCAGAGAAATCTCACTGCTCAAGGAACTTAAGCATCCAAACATAGTCAGGTAAGAGTGTTGCACTTAAAAACGGGTTTTTAAACCTAGTGCTCTAAGAATTGACACAGCTGATGAATAGCAGAAAGGCTTGCTTTAATAACTGCCAACAAGCTACAAAACTAAATGACAGAAAAAGACGCTTTCCCAATATAAAATGAGGTATTAGTCCTTGTATGATCTTAGCTGCAAAGAGACCTTTACCCAATGCAGGCAGGAAGCAGTTCTTGTACAGCCTCACAGCCTGGATCCTTTGCTTATCATTTCATAGTTTCATAGTAGTTTGGGGTCAGAAGGGACTTGAACAGATCATCTAGTCTGCTCCCCCACTGGCAGGAGCACACGCTGGTATCACACAACCCCAGACAGGTGTTCATCCAACTTCTTTTTTAATGTACCCAAGGTAGGAGCGAGGACCACTTCCCTAGGAAGTTGGTTCCAGATCCTTGCCACCCTAACAGTGAAATAGTGCCTCCTAATCTCTAACCTGAACCTATTCTCCAGCAGCTTCTGGCCATTGTTCCTTGTCACCCCAGGTGCTGCTGGGGGGAATAGGGCCCTTCCTATTTGCTGCTGATCTCCCCTAACTAGTTTGCAGGCAGCCACCAAATCCCCCCTCACCCTCTGTTTGCTGAGGCTGAACAGGGTCAGGTCCCTCAGCCTCTCCTCATAGGGCCTGCCCTGTT